AGGAATTTTCATCGTAACATATTCGCACGTTTCTTTATTTTTCAGAGAGTCTTCGATGTTACAGAATTTTTGGGCGGCGGCATATCGGTCATGGCTTTCAGAGACCGAACAAGTATAGATAAGGTGGTCGTAACAACGTTGTACTATCTATACGTAGCGTGTCGTGCTAATTTGTTAATGGGACATCCTGACTGGCACGCATTTTAATCAGTTTTCAGCACACCGATAACGGGCTATTATTAAGTGGCCTTCGGGAGAATGGCCACCGTGTGGTTCGACGCGCGAGTTTATCAGGCCAGTTCGAAGGATTGGTCTGGAACGCGACGAAAAAAAACTCGATCGCGGCGGCTTAGTCGTCGGACGGTCACCTGTAACAAATATTTCTTTGTTTACTAAAGTATGCGTTTGTTTTGATCGATCGTTTTCGTTTACCTTTCCGTGCTGTATCCGCGATTGGTACTTGGAGTCCATTTATTACCAAACAGAGTCGTGAAACGCGATCGCAGGCAAATGGAGTCGGCTTTCCGAAGCTGCGGATTAAGGCGTATCGCGACAGAGGGGAGGAGGCGCGTGGTAGGCACGCGGTGTTCGTTCAACTTGATCTCAAAATGAATTTACGAGGGCATAATCGCCAATTGAGATGAGTACTTGTTGCGTGCAATCGGCTCGGTTGAGACCTTGTAGCGAAGCGTTGCACTCTCCCATCATCGGGAGCCGCGATAGCATAACGCACGCCGATGCGTACCGGTCGCTGCAAAATTACGAGAAAATTAAACGAGGCTTCTCGAATTCAGCCTGATGTCCGGCCGATAAGAAGGCGATGGAACAAGTTCACCGCATACTCGCGAATATCAGTCCGTTCGGACGCGGTTCGAATCGAACAGTGGTGCAAATGCATTACAAAATGAACTATTTTTAGAACCGTTTCGCTTTGTTAAGAGCGAGTGTCGGATAACTAAGGGATGACAGCATATTGTTAGCAGCTGGGAAGAATGCCTCTTCTGTCCGTGATACATTGATCGACGGAAGGCGTAAAGCTTTCGATTGGCACGATACGCGTCATCGATCCGATTGTACTCCCATTCTGGTGCGTCTGCAATGGTATGTACCGAATGACCCGAACCGAGTCTATCTCTCAAAGGCATTCTACTCACCTGCCAATCGTGTATGCGCCTGAATGTACGTGTTTCTCTCTATGGCTCGGTGTTACGTACAATTTCTTGTAAACAAGGAGGAATCTCCGTTTCTCCTGAAATATGCAAAAAAAAAAAAAATGAACGTTTTTAAATTTGCAGCATCAGCTGTACCTCGGTAAATTCAGCGGCAATGACGCAGAGGCGATTATATGCCGTATGCGCTACCAGCGTCAAGATTAGCGGCGTGTCTTAGTCTGGGCCTTAAATGAGAAAGTTTCGGAGCGCGTCTGCTTCATGTAAACCGACCGTGGCCGCGATCGTATGCATCTGTGGATTGTCAATTCGTACGTTTAAGCTACCGCATTTTCGCGTGTCCTACGATGAAGGACGTGCTTCATTGATCGGTCCAACAGATCGGATCCATTGGATTGGAATCTTCTATTTCTCAGAGGTTATCCATCTTGGGATGATCTGTATATTTCAGAGATTCTCGCTAAAATTTATTTTAAAAATTTTACAAAACAGTACATAAGAGCATTGTTATGGATACTTAAAAGTAAAGAAGTGTGTGAGAGAAGAGAGAGAGAGAGAGAGAGAGAGAGAGAGAGAGAGAGAGAGAAGCTCTGTGCAATATGACGCCTCGCAAGATCGTTGACTATAGGCAGATCCGATCGGATCGCATATGTACCGTGTATTATAATCACGAGAAAGAGCTGTTAGCCGATAAATTCTTCATCTAGGTGGAACCACTTACAAAAGGGAACACCTTTTCGTGATTGCATGCTTACGGCACGTGAAATAGTGTCCAAATTATAGGCCACGGCGGTATAATTCGACGAACGCGTTGAGCAGGGTCGTGCTTCGCCAAAAAGAGGACGAACAACAAAAGGAAGACGGAGGAACGAAGGACCTATTTCTTCTCGTAGATACGAGAGACGAGCTCGCTTTTTCCGTAACCGAGCGCGTATCGATACCGGCACGGCGACGTCGAACGGGATCCGAATAATCGCGGCTAATCGCTGAAAATGATAATAATCGCGCTCGCGTTGACTGTCCGCGCGACTATCGTCGGCAATCAGAGGTTTCTCTCAACGAGGTTAATGTGAGTCGTAACCAGTCAGTTTTTCTTCAAGTTTCACTGCTACTGGACACGACTTTAGAGCGATAGTTGAAACTGTCGTTTCTCGCGCGAACACCGTCGTAACGATTTAATCGAGAATCGTGTAATTCGTTCTACGAGGTTGTTTACATCCATCGAGTAATCGTTACGCGGTAACCATAACCGTTCGATGATCGCGTGAGTTGCGCTCTAAACGAGCATCTTCCTCGTGTTCGCGTGAAAAAATTGTGTTCCTCGATCCCCATCCGGTAACTTCCTCTCGTTTGGTCAAATTATCGCTCGGTAACGTGACTTATCGTTCGAAACGCGCGTGCCCTGCGTATGTAAATGTTGACAGAGGTTGGAACGGGAAGAGAAACAGCCCGAAAGACTATGATATAACCAGTTAAGGGGCCATTGGGCCAACGTTCATGCCACAACGCACGCTCCGAGAAGCAATAACCGCTTGTTGTACACGCGTCTTGCATCCACTTTATAGCTGCGTTCACCCTCAACTAACTTTACCCTTTTTGTTTCGCGTTCGTTCGAATCGCTGTCTCGCTCGTCCGGCGACACGCTTCGGTAGCTTCTCCGCGAATCATAGACAACTGTCTAACCATCGTAAATTATCGTTAACACTTTTTATCGTCTACGAGACGCGGTGGACCCGTGCTTAAGTTCATGTGTCTTCTATACCAATTCGAAATCAAGAGTATTCCTCCTTTCCTTTTTTTTTTTTATTTTTATATTAAGAAACGTACGGCTGCAGGCACCGAGAATCGAGTGCGTTGACATTGCCAAGTGACTTTCCAATTTATTAAGACACTCGAGCCACCTCCCGCGATTTCCGTGACTCGCGTTTCGATCTCGTTAGAACAAGAAACGCGGTCCAGGTCTCGCGGCTAAAATGCGAATAGAGATCGGACCAAGTGTGCGACGCGAGACACTGACACCAACGGCCTTCGATAAGTGCGCGTGTTATTGCTCGCAACAGCGAATGAATCTCGGCGAGTAATAGAATGACCGGGGGCTACCAGTAATCGACCAGTCCCGTTGAGTACCTAGCAGAAATCGTGGTTCGCGTTGACATCCATAATCTTGCGCCGTGATTACGGTGGAGCGCGATCGAGTACACGAAAAGAACTAAAGAAAACTGTTGAAAACGATCTATTACTCGCAGAGCGGTCGCTGAACGTACTCCGTTGACCAGGAATACTTTTCAACAGCGCTATGATTTAGATCTGCAAAGGCGGTAAATCGAGTTCGGTTGATCGGATAGCGTTAGGCGCAATTTCGTTCGAGTAAACGGAATTCTATTGTAATTAGGCTGCCGCTGTACGCTATTCGATCGTTTGCGCAACGTCGCTTCCACTTTTAGAATCGTAACGCTGATTCGCAACCGAACAAGGTTGCTTCGCTTTCTCGACGTAACGTTGATAATTTCATGATAATTCGATGCGTTCTCGTGGAAAAAAATAGGCAAGCTGTCGTTCGCGATCCACGATTTCGAAACGATGTCGCATAGACTTAATAAATCGATTACGTTACGGTCGCAGGTTGGCTACGATCTTAAAGTTCGATACGCGTCGTAACGAGTAGATCCGCACGATCGCGAACTAACTCGGGCAAGCACGAAAAAAGAGTCGGTAACTTCTTCGTACGATCTTCGTTTTCGTAATACGTTTTACTTATCTTTCAGGAGTTTCGCGAGACGCAGCCCGTACTGTTGCCTTCGAGCTTAAAAGTGCAATTTTATCGGTATTTCGAATGTACGTACACGGTACGCTGAACGGGCCACCGATGGAAGAATAAATAAGCGTTCCGAGCGTTCCTCGAATTGCCATCGAACGCGTATTTACTTTGCAACGTCGACTACGCGGTCTTCGGCGAGAGTCGAACCACGTCGAACCACGTCGAACCGAGGAAAAATGATTCAAAGTCGCCTACCCGACACGCGAATGCGTCGAGCGACACGTTCGTCGAAATTAATCATCGTATAGAAAATAGCGACGTTGCCGTGACATATTTAGCAAACAAATAAGGCTAAGAACGAACGTTGAACGGACGTATTGTATTTGGAAGTTAAACGACCCTGTCCGCTCGATACGAGCGGTTCGCGAATCGGAATCGCGGAGATGTAATACAAGCGTAGGGAAATATGTTTTTCCGTGAGCCGCGTAACGAGGCCTCGCGCGAACGATCTCGCTGGCGCCAGTTTAATGTCTCGCCCACCGCGGAAGCGAACGCTCCTTCGTAGCGCCGGATGCGTCGGGTATCGTCGAGACGGGCCGTTTACGCATACCTTGACGCGACGTTTTCCATCGAGTGCCGTTGAAAAACGATGCGCGCGACTAACTAGTATCTTCGATTTCATTCACCGGTTACGCCAGTTTCTTCATTTTGTTGAAACGTATCGCAAAGAAACTACGTTTTCGTCCGACAGCAGCAGCAGCAGCAGCGTACGTTCTCGTTTATTTTTCCGAAGGACGCTATCATCGAACATCGACTCGATTCGTCGCGGCATTTAGCCGCGATCCGCTTCGCTGGTGAAATGTCGCGGTTGATTCGCGCCGTGCGAGTCACGTGAGCTACGCGTGAAAATGAAAAGCGGAAACGGGTGAAGTCGAACACTGCGTTACGAAGAATAATCCGTTGCAGCACGCCTGCTGCACCGTTGCACCTACCTGCGAAAAGGTAGATCACCGCGTCGCACAGTGGGACAAAACGGCTCTCGGCGACCGAAAATCTGTAACTTTGGCTCTACTGGAGATATTTGAATGATACTTGGAGGAATTATACCCCACATTATGGCCTTTAAGTTATATTCGTATAAAATATATTAATCTAGAGGGTGACGTAATATTCGTATGTAACGTACAGCGTGTTGAATATCTCAACTATGTGTTATATGCTTTATGTTTTATAATTGAAATTCATTTCATTTAATGTTAATAGATGCGATAGAAAAGGATTCAGTTACTTAAAACGAAGCAAATATATATATATATATATATAAAAACGGATTGCACTATGTTAAACAGTAATTTATTGTTCTCTATCCATGTACGTAAACAGTTTTTCCACTTTTCGAATTCACGAAAATCGATTTACGATCGCCGAAATTGTCCCACTGTGCGTCGATTACACGTCCGTCACATTTTTCTCCACTTGCATCGCGATATTCGGCCTAGGGATGAAGGATCGAATATAAAGAACTATAGAACCAATTAAGATGAACGTGAAATTACAGTCAACTACCATAACAATCGAGGGTGTTGTAAACCGAAAAAAAAAAGAAGAACAATGTAAAAATCGATAGGAGGCACCGAGTGCACGGGGAGCTCTTTTTTTTCGAGCCGGATGGTAGGGTCGATCTTCGGGGATGCATTTCACCGTGCACCGGCTGGTGCATGTGCATATCGTGACGGGTTGTGCGTGAATCGCGCGTAAACACGTGCGTGGCGGCGGGTGTGTGTGCACACAGGCACACGCCGAGGGATGCATCGTCTGTCGAGCCTCCGCCTCCTTCCTCCTCTTATTCACCACCACCCTGCGGACCTATATATTTCCCGGAGGGTCTCCCACTTTCGCCACTATCATTCCTGTCGCGGCTGCGCGAGCCTGTGAGCGCGCAAACGTGAGTTCGCTCTCGGCTTTCTTCTTGGAGCTTCCTCGCCGGCAGATTACGCGCGGACACCTGCCTTCGTCCTTCGATCCAATTTTCCCGCGGATTTTCCAACGGAATACGCCGCCGACGAGCTGTGAGATCGTGCACGCGTCAAGTTTCTCAGTGACCGTCACAGGCGAGCCGAGTTCGCTGATCAATAGTTGGACGATTCGCTGTTCGATAGTCGAACGGTTTCGATCGATTTCTTTTTATCCCGCGAAACGGTGTACGACTCGAGTTTAACCGAGTTCTTCCCCGCGGCACGCTCTTGTTTCTCGGAAAATGTGCACCACGTGCGGTGAGCCCCCGATTCCACCAGCAGCTCCTACCGAATGGGATTAGATGAGGCACGACGGTACGTCAAAGTGTTTACAAACATTCATAACGATCGTTTGCGTTTCGACGTTAAAAATTTGTCGAAAGTAACGCGTTCTTACCGATCTCACGGGAAACCGTGGAACACGAGTCCGTGGAACCTCGACGAATTTCCAGCTGATTTTCCAACGGTTGATCTGGCTGGGCCGCAACCCGTGCCGCATTCTTCACAGCTGTTCATACAACGATCCGCGCACGCTGCCACCGAGAAGAAGAAACCGTGAATATAGATGCTTCTTTATACGGGCGTTCGCCAAGTAGCGAGTTAATAAGCCGTGTCGTAAATTCCTCTACGACTTTTATCCTCGCGCTCTCGATAGCTCCAAACTTTTTTTGCCGCTGTCGGACCGTCAAGCTCGATCGTCGAGACGTAAAAATGAAACGAGACGCGTTTTTTCGACGAATTCCCGTGATTCGTGTTTGAAAAGTAAACTCGCGCGTCACGGTTCACGGACGTTGCCGCGTTTTCCGAACTCTTTCTTTGTCCGTAACGAGACCGTATCGAGCGAGCCTGACCGAGCGGGATAGGAGAATTAACGAATACCTTGTTTCGCGGTGGGTATATCATACGGCAAGGGTTTATTGCGCAATGAGAGAAGATAAAGCTCGAAAGGCCAGGACTTGAGGCGATCAACCTTAACCGGTCTAAAGACATCCCGTGCGAGTTTCCGTGCACGGAACATCGTGATTTGTTGCGTAGAGTACCTCTGCTAGCGCTCTATATCATTCAGCGGGGGTAATGAGCTTCGCCTTATAACGTAACGCGGTGTTTCTTATGCGCAGGATGGCCTGAGCCTCGGAGAAAATCTTCATGGATCGTTCACGAAAATCGAGGAATGCCCGCTGGTCGTGGAGTCCCGCGGAATTCCCGCGGCGCCGACGATGCGCGCCGCGCCGCAGCAACATCACCGTCAAGAATTTTGGGTGAGTTACGATTACGTAGGTCTCGCTTAAAAGTTCCGCTTGTCGAATTTCGGTAACATGTACGTGTAACAGTCGCTCTCGGTTAATTGGGCCACGCAGGGACCGGAACAATTTGATCCAATTAAGCAGCTGTCCAATTTACGCCAAGTTTCCTGTAAACGACTGCGTTTCGTTTCGAATCCGATAGCGAACGATTCTTTGAAAAATTACTTGACTGTTGATTATAAATTCGTTTGTATTTCTTTTCTTCTTAATATCTATCGTAAGTAACCATCTGCTTCCTCCGTCGCGGTTTCCTTCCTCGAGCACAGATATTCCTTTCTCGAATTCCTGCTCGTCCTACTCTCTACCGACAATGAGAGAAAAAAATGAAAAAAACCTCAAACGTTCGCACTCGTTGATATTAAGCAGAGAAATAAAACGCGGCCGTTATTGACGTAAGCGAGATTGGTTAAAGCGTTTAGTCCCGGAACACGATACTTGAACGCGCGCGCGAGCAAACAGCCGGATGAAGCTTGACGTGAAAAGTTTGTACACGATTTGTATCGGTGCCCGTGTAACCGTGAGCGTGTGGTTTGTTCGAAAATGTAAAAAAATAAAAAAAAAAGAAGTAAATTCGAGACGCGAACAGCCGAAACACGATATCCCACTCGATAACTCGTCATTTTAACGAGGGTATCTCTCTTTCTCTCGTGCCGTACCGTGGGTACACACCGGTGCAGTTTATTTTAATACAGACACCTCGTAATAATTCTCGATGCACATCGTACCGAATGAACGGACATCAATCCTTGCCCTCGTTACTTTCGATGCTCCAGGCAGAGAGTCCCTTGTTATCTGTGCAGTCTCCTTTGTACAGCGTGCATGCCAATGTCTGCGCATAATTACCGGTTTCGATTACGGATTGGCCGACAAGTGCGCCGGATTTTCCACCGGGTACTGGGAAACGTTTATGCCTTTTCTTTGTTTCTTTTATCGTCGATCTTTCGCGTTTCTCGTTCCTTTCGTTATCCACGGACTCCTCCCTGTCCGCGAAACCGGGGCTCGAGGATTATTCTTTCCCTGGAAACGGACCTAAAGCCGTTCGGTTACTTCGGAGATAAATTTGCTGGTCGTTAATTGGATCAAGCTCTCGCGACGCTCTAATTGTCGCGGGTAATATTAGTCGGCGAACTTATCGTTGAATCGATACGTTTGCGGGCAGGAAAAGTTTCGAGACGCGACGTTCTTTCATTTCGCTACGGAGCAGCTCGACTCTTGGTACATTTTTGGTTGCCGTCGACTGGTAGATACGCTCGAAATCCGAACGGATATTAACGCGCATTAAATAACGCGATTTCGCGGCGGTTTCTTCGTCGACCGGAGAAATCAGTTTCGCGATTATCCGCGATGATGCAAAATCCTGACGAGTCCGGCATCGCGGAGAAGCCCTTGTTGATAACCGTGAAAGTAACTCGTGTATCAGGCTCTGTGACATTAATCCGCTGCGAAAGGATTGGTAGGCCCGAAGAAAGAAATAGAAGGAAAAAATGTCGCAAAAGGGAAGAAGGAGCCACGCGAACAATAAGCAATCTGTAGCGGGCATGTAGAGTAATTATGTTGAGTCTAGACGCACGCGTACGATTATATGTACGCGTATCCCTTTCGCGGATCGCATGCGGTATACATTACACACGGTATGTGGTCGAGTTCGCCGTGGCTCGCGTGTGTATAGTCGCTCGTGTTCCTGATAATACGGGGTGACAACAACAAAATACGAGTAGTCCACCGAGATAGTCCTCATTTGGTTTGAAATGTTTTCGTCGTGGATTCTCACCGATAATTATCCCAGGTTTTCTTGCAAACGAGCTCCGGCGAGTTCAGGGGAACGTCCGCTCGGATTCTAGGAATTCCCGGGGGGGGGGGAGGTGGAGGGGGAATACAAATTGCGCTTTACTTACTTCGCGTAAAATTTCATAGAGTGTCACGTTCGATGCACATGGTGCCCTAACGATCGGATAAATTCGTTCCGTATAGCGATAGTCGCGAACTTAACGATCACCCACCGCGTAATATTCGCGTGTATTCCCGCGAATACGCGCACACCGCGTCGTCTCGCGTATATAAGCGAGCGTAAAACTTACACTCGGTTGGCTTTGTGTAGCGTGTATCTCGTGTGTTTGTATAACAAGTGCAGGGCGGGAGTAGGAACGAGCCAGGAGGACCGATAACCTGAAACGAGCCGGAAAGACTACCTACGAGTCTCGGATCTCCGAGGTGCGAACCGCGGGACCGACTCGAATATCGATCATTCGTGAGCCGCGTGGGGCGCGAGAGGTTGGAAAACCATGGTTCGCCAATGCGGGCCCGTACGACGGAAACGGCGATCGAGTTCCGAGAGGGTTGGACGGGCAAACAAATAAAGGTGCATTAGCCTCCGCGGCCTCGAAGCGAACGTGTCAGGAATATGAAGAGTAGTCGGCGTGCGACGCGAGCTCTGCCTCCAACTTTCATCTTCGCCGACCTAGACCGCCGAGGAAAACGCATTTCTGCGCGTTTACCGGGCTTTGGTCGTCCCTTTCTCTCCATCGCGTCCTTCTCCCTCTCCCGTGAACGTTCACGCTTCTCTTCTCCTCCGCGGAAGTCGTTCACGAATACTGATAATCAGCGTCCACGATGACGTAGGCCGATCGATCATACCCCAGTCAATCCGTTTCCGTTCAAAGTTCGCGTCGACGATACGAACGGTCGCTTCGGAAACGAATTCGAAAAGACTGTCGTCGCGTGGCACGAACGAGTCAATGACGCTTATCGCGTCTCGTAATAAGCGACACTGACCGTTCGTCGAACGCGCTTCTCGGTCATCCTCGCTTTAATTAACGCCAGCTACGTCGCGGTATTCGGCTCGGATCGTTTCGCTGCATTGAACGCGCTCGATCGCGCTCGGGTGAATCGAACGAGAAAGAGACAAAAGGAGCGTCGATGAATCCAAGTCGAATTAAGAACGACGAAGGAATCTCGTTCGGGGGGCAATGAAACGCACCTTTCAGAGAGCTGACCATCGTTTAATTACGGATCAGCTGTTTCGAGTCGAGCGTGACGGGAGCTCGCGTGCGCTCGTCTACGCACATGTGTGCCAATCGATTCGTTTCGAAGAGCACGTATATCGAGAGACCGCGTGGTAGCGGAGCGATCTCATCTCGGAACCGAAGATAGAGTTGCCGTGAATGCCGGCAATAAACCGCGATTCGCTCACGTACATACAACGAATACTATTCATAAGTCAAGTCGAGACGAGGCGAGGCAACGACCGTGAGTCCACTCCGAGTGTGGCGCCTCGACTACCTCGTAATTCTCGTACGAAGACTTTTCTTTTCAACAGGGGCTCACAATTAGGCCCATTATGCGCGCACATGTTCGCCGTGTTTCCGTCTATTCGCGCGCGTCACGCGACCTTCTAAACGCCGGGAAGCCGGGTTACGCGTCTCTTTCACGACCCATTTCATATCGACGAATTACGCGATACTCTTCCCTTTAATATTTCCAAGTATTTCCGCTGACGGTTTTGCGAATACGAATGTAGGGATGTAGGAACGACTCGTTACGACGATTCCATTAAATTGCAAACCGATCTGCTAGAGTGATCGAGTAATTTTGCCTCGTGTCGGTACCGAGGCGATGGATAACGAAGACTAATTGTCGGAGCTACATCTCTTACGAATTAGTTATCGAGTTTTCGTAAGTTAATTTCCATGTCGTTATCGGGACCTATTAAGAAGACCGTGCTCGCTTTCGACCGCGGCTATCGACGATGATCCCGCCATCGATCGACCCTCGAAAAAAGTCAGACTAATTGGAAGACGTAGCCTAATTGTAATTTCTTTCTCGATGGAACGAGTACCCTCTTTCAGACTCGATGGTTGGGTATCGTGTACAATTTTTAGGTTCTAGGCAGTCGATCTCCTTCGTCGATGAGATCCGGTTTATTTAAGAAAATTTGTAACGCGTCCGAATCAGCTGTCGAGCGTGCCGTTGCGAGACACGTGTGGTCGTAACAGAAGAAGCGTACACGCTGTTCCCGGAAGCGATAACAATAATGATAGCTTCGCTGGACTGGCGCGAACAATTTTCGCCACGACCGACGAAGCTCGTAAAAGGGTACACGCCGGTAGTTTTGTCGTGCGGCACGCATCCCTCGAACAGGTTGGTGTCCTCCGCAGCTGGCAAACTTTCAGATGCTACCACAAAAGCACAGAAAACTCGGTCACGGCGTAACATTTAAGCACCACGATAACCGAATCAACGAAATAAACGAATAACATTTGAAAATCACGGATTAAAAGTATCGTTGGAGTACATGGGGTCACGGCTACACGCGCGTATAGCCGACGGTTCTGTATGGAAATGTTTACCTTCACTTTCTTCTTTGCGTGTTTATCGACGTTGCATTTTCTATTGTATTCGTAGAGCCAACCAGAGATTAGCTTGAAATTAATCTCGGAGCGACGACGTCGACGGTTGGAAACGTCTTCGGCTGACATCTTCGGCTTTTCAACGACGCGATCGGTTTCTTCGTTTCCAGTATCGACAACCGCATTATGCTGAACCGCGGTAGTAGCGAATGCGAGTCATTGACTCTCATTTGCATCCATTCCTTCCGATGAAACTTGCGATGGTTTGCAACGGTACCGTCGAGTACGACCAATCCCGACTTCTCCATCCTCCGATAGAAGAGCGAAATATTTTTAAATCTTCGTCGCATCGGTCGTCGAACGGTTTTCTTTTGTCACCCGCGTCTCCGTCGCTCTCTTTAACCTTTTCAACGACGAGATCTTTTCCAACAAAAAGTAATACATTTCTCTCGAAAAATTACGAACAATTTACATCTCGAATCCCATTTGGATACGTTAATTGTCGCGATCGATCGGAAATCTCCACGGTAAAGACAAGACTGACGATTACCTAACGCGTACCTGCGAAATGATCGCGGCTGATTTATCCGACGCTTCTGTGCGCACGAG